ACTCCGCCTCACCATCCGTGTCCTTCTCCCAGTCATCCCTTTCTGAATCCCAGTCCATCGACCCATCACTTCCCTCTTTATTTTTTATGTTTTATTTGAACTTTATTTAATTCTTCAGTGATTTTGCTGGATGTTATCTATATTTGAACAAAAGCAGGAGAAATCTTTAAAATAACAGTTTAAATAATTATTTACCATTCTTTAATCCTTAATATACACACATTTCCTGTCAATTATTGGCAAATATCTGTAAAATTATTTCCTAATAATATTTTTTGCTGTTCAGATCCAGCAAGAAACAGTGTAATTATACGTTTCAACTTTTGCAATTTTGACGTGGACATCATTTACAGTATTTAATATGGTTAACATGTAAATTAATACTTTTTTGTGTGATTTTACTATTACATGTATTTTTGACAAAACAATAAAAATCTATTTAAATTTCAAATTGTTCAACAAATATTGCAGTTTCATATGTTACAGTATTATAGGTAAAAGAAAAGGTTAAAGAAAGTTTTTGGGTTTTTTTCTTACGGCGTGGTAATGACTGACTCTTTTGTTTCAGCCTGTAAACTGCCTAAATGTGACTCTGCACTGTTGCATCCTCTCGAATGTGCAGCTCTATGAAGGCTCTCTCCACTTGCTGCAGCTCCAGCACACCAGCTCACCCATGACTCTGCTCAAACGCTGTGAAACTACTATACGCTACACAATGCAGGGTTGTGATATTGACCTAATTCAGACATACATTTTTGAACCTAAAACTGAAATCTAAAGAAAATATGGGAAGAACCCTACAAGCTGATAGAACTGGTTGTTTAGGTTTGAAATCCTGGCTCTGAATCAGCATCCCGCAGCTTCATGGTGGAAGGCCTCTTTAAATGCACTCAAGGCTTCTGGAGGAGCTTAGAGTGAGAAAACAGGTACATCCTGAAGTCTTTAATCAAGCGGCTTGATGTACGAGTGCTTCACTTTGGTGGATGTTGGCTCCATTTGACAGGCGCTACAGCTATGAGCCGCGTCTGCCGTCACTTAAGGCTGCTCCCACCTAACAAAGGGCCTCCTATTGGTAGCTTTGACTCCTCTGTCGTTGCCTCTTTCTTTTACATCTTTGCTCAGAGGATGAGCCATGAATGAGGGAAGCAAGGAGACTTGTTAGCATAATGAAAAGCACCCATGGTTGCCAGACGGTTGGTGCCACCCCAAACCTGACCTTGTGTCTTTGTGATGCCTTTTATGAAATAAAATCCACACAAATTCAGGGTAAAAAAACCCCCAAAACATCCAAGGTAAATGACCTCTGTGTCCTCATCAGGCCTTTTACACACTAAATTTTCATTTCCTCTGAGAAAAAAATCACACTTTGGCATCCAGGCCGATGTTTGTTGGAACCACGGACGTCCGACCAACGGCTCGCGTGATCATTTGCGTCGGCAGGTCACATAACCCCAGAGTTCATCTCTTATCAGTCGGATAACTGCAGCAAGGTACATAAGGCACGATGACATCACCAGCTGGGGACAATGCTGCCACACCGGTATGATCTGTAAATAGGTGCATTTGTTTAAGTTCAGAGGCGCAGACAGACTTCAGATAAAACACTCGCAGATGGTGTTTACAACAAAAAAAAAAAAAAAGTAAGTCAAAAGGAATTTAATCAAAGCGCGTTACACCCAGCTGGCTCAGGACATCTGTATCCCATTTTTAAATAACAAAAATAACCACAATCCAGTGTGCAATTTTTTTTATTGTACAAAATAAAAGACATCAAAGACAGTGAGATGTGGTCACAGCTGACATGATAAATGGATTAGCAGATGGACAGAAGTTTGTTTTTTTTCATAATCATTTGAGTCATTTAGGAAGCATATCTGGTTTCAGCTTCTCCAGTGTCGGCGCTTTTCACTGTTTTGTAATATCTGAAATTGAATATTTATCTGTTTTTTGGACTGTCTGGACAAAACCAAACAATTGGAGACATGAAGGATTACCAAACATGTTACAGTGTCCCACTTCTTTTTTTTCCCCCTCATCAATTCGCCAGCTGGACTAAGTTATGTCTCTTATCAGCAACTTTTAAGTTAGTCAGCCTTCCAAGTCCTCAGTAAATCCCTTTAATATTTATTACACTCTGTTTTAAAAGTATGAAAGCTGTGCTTATTTTCTCTGCAAAAACTAACCTGCAAGTGTGGAGTTTCATTATGGAATTCTGCATAGAAAAAAAGTAGAATAATGACTGTCACACAATCTGCTGCTGCCTGTATAATCCAGGTTAGTAGACTAAAGATACCAACTTTGCATCTGCATGAGTCACCGGAACGCCGTGAGATCTGATCACAGTCCTCACTTCCATCAACAGCCTCCTTATCAGGGGCCAATAGTCCATGCAGGGAGTGCTGCATGAGGTGACTGATGTTTAACAGTTGACTCTGAGAGCAATGTTTTTAGATTTCCTCTGGGTTCTAGGCTTGACGAATTGTGTAGTTAATGCAGTTTGTGCAACTAAAAAGTCCCCAGAAAACATTAGACTTGTCACAGCGTGAAGTATTCCTCGACAGTCCGTGCCTCCTGTGCGGTCTAGTTTTTCTTCTTCTGGTTGTTGGTCTGTCCCCTGGGAACAGGTCTCATAAAATAAGTGGGGTTGGTGTGGCAGCGCAGGGCCAGCAAAGCTGGCGCAGCAGCGAGCAGCGCGTTGAGGATGATAACAGGCCACCGTTTGTCTGCTGGAACTCGGTACGTGAAGGGAGTGCGGGAGTGCAGAGATGCTCCGATATGGCACCACTGGGTCTGCAGAGAACAGCGTGGCAGGAGGAGGGGGAAAGTAAACAAGAGGCTCTGCATTACACTATTTCAAGAAGAATTGTAAAACTGCAAAGGCACAATAAGCTACCTGAGCCATGGCACCAGCAAAGAAGAGGGTCCAGTCCAACATCCAGGTGCTTCCAGGTGTTCTCAGACCATAGATGAGGAGAGTGAGCAGCGGCAGAGCGTAGAACAAATACACCAGCATCTAAAACAATGGTGCACAAAAAGATTTATCAGTGCTTTGAAGGAGAATACGCAGCATACCTGGTTTAAGTCTTATTCTCTAGACTAACCATAACCCTGGGAAAGCCAACTGGGTCTTTGAGGTACGGCTCATACTGGTAGATGTAGGTGAAACAGAAGTCCAGAGGACAGTCCAGCACCACCTGGAGCACAACAGGAAGAGAGTTCAGACATGTCTGAGTGAGTGCAATCAGAGATACAAGTGGTAAACAGAGAGAAAAAGCCTCATGTTGCTTTACTTACAAAGCCTCTGAAAACACAGAAGGCCATGGAGCCCAGCAACAGGAGAGACAGAACCAGGTCGACAGGTCGGGACAGCAGACTCTTCTTCTGCTCTGCAGCGATCTACACAGACACCTTCTCTGTTAGTAAAGTTACTGCACATTTAACACAATTGACTAAAGCAAGACTGACTCATTTTGCTAATGTACACTTAACAAAAATAGAAATGCAGCTCGTATCTTAGTATTTTACTAAATTCTATCCATTCTTTTTAACATAAGGGGAATAAAGCACGTCTTGTTCCAACACTCTGCATCTCTTCAACAGAGCGGATGTCATGAAAACAACCTCGCAGGAACTATGTTGGAGATATTCATGGGCAGATGGAGAGACAAATCACAAGTCAGCGATGAGTCATACATGAGCGACAGAGAGTTAATGAGGCTGCTGATGCCGGTGGATGGTTGTCCTTCTCCTCCGGAAGGTCTCGGTGAAGTTGGCAGACATTTTGGGGGACAGAATCATGTTGTCGGACACATCTATCGAGGGCTGTTGGAAGGCGTTTCTTCTACGACAAATGATGGAGTTGTGGACATTCAAGTGCTTCACCGTGACCCTAACTGACATCTCAGCATCCAACAGCTTGTTCTTAGCTTGTCTGTCGAATCCTGTCATCAGAATAAAGCCGCAATTTAAGGTGGACTTTTATAGTTGTATGTCAGAGGAGAGTCTGTGAACATTATCTGATCATTGTCCTTTAAAGCCACACCTGAGTAGAGAGTGGATTAACTCAGTGGTCAAGAATTTTGTCACTAGTTGAGCAGCTAGAACAACAGAAGTGGGATTTTTAACTTTTTCTCTAAGTCTGAAAACACTTTTTTCAAGCTGCCTTTGTATTTTTGTTCAGTGCCTGTTGATACTGGCATACATGTTTGGAGGTCTGCAAAGAGAAACTGCACTTCATTTGAATTTTTTGTGGGACTTTCTATGAGCAAATTACATTTAATTGTTTTTACATTCTGTGTGTTTTTGTTATATTTATAAATTTCACAAAAAATAAGTTACTATTCAGAAGAAAACATCAACTACATACATCTTTACATCCGTTTTATTTAACAGTGTAGCTGGCAGTTCAAAAAGTTCTGTCATCTCACATTTATTGTTATCGTCACCCGTCAAAATAAAGCTTGAAGTTACATAATCGTCGACCTAAATAATTACAGGTGGAAGCTCCTTTTCATGAGGATTTTTAATCATGTTCCTCCACAATAATTATACTCTGTCTAACTGTGGAGTTTAACAGTCCACAGTTTTTCCTCTTCAAGTCACTTATTTGAAATAAAACAGTAAAAATGAAAAACTTCTCTTTAGCTCACACACATATGCTGTGACCAAGGTTTGTACTTTGTGGATATATATGTATGTTCTACTCGTGCTAATTTTACCTTGTCTGCTGGGATGACTGGCATCTGTGTAGGTCTGCTGAACAGGAGGGACGCTGCCCAGATAGGCACCAAAAAGAAGGGGATGTTCCTCCAAAACGCCGGTCGAAGGTTTGACCCATACTTACCTGAACAAATGAGAACACTGCCAATACAGACAGACACAGACAACTACAGCTGATATGATCAAACAAAGAGTTCCTGTGGGCAGTTCTCACCGATGACCACTCCTGGGATGAAGACAATTTGATGGGCGACGGAGGAGCCGGCCCACAGCAGACCCAGGTTGCGATAGGACTTCCTGCATGGACAGAAAATCAGCATCAGATCACTGAACACGCCACTGATAGGCTGTGATCTTCGTGATGCAACAGCTTACCCTGCAAACATGCGGTGGATGATGGTGAGGAAGAGGGCGAAGTGAACAACTCCCTCCCAGTAGGACATCATCACGGCATAGGCAGTACTTAGATGAGGTTCCCCCTGAAGAGACAAAACATCACATGATGCATACACGTCAGAAGTTAAAAGCAGAAGGTAAACACACTTCTGATCATCTCACCATCTTTATGTAGAAGTCCATGAAGCCAGAGATGAACCCATCCTGCTCTAAAGCGTTGGTCAAACCCACCATGCAGGTGAAGGAAAACTCTGCAAACGCTGGATACACACACACACACACAGAGGCAAAAATGAAACAACAAAGCTCCATCTTCATTTCACTCAAGTGCGCATTTGTCTGATTGTACCGTAGAATAAAGGGTCCACTTTGGTCTTGCGTTGCACAGTGAGGAGGAGGAGGAGAAGAACAGATCCCAGGACGACCATTCCCACTCCCAGGATCGGAAGAGGTCTGAGGAACAATGGTTGAGTATTTAGATTTATGCAGAAGCATTGTAAGGAAAATCCAGAACATTCTGATGATCGACTAGTTGTATAAGTCATCGCTGTTTTTTGGCACAAATGCTCACGATTCCCTGATTCTAGCTGCTTTGGATTTAGACGGTTGTTCAGACAAAACAAAGCAATTTGCAGATTAAATTTTGTGTTTTAAAAAAACAAGCATTTTGTCTGCCAAACAGTTCTTAATTGAAAAACATGTGCAGCAGTTAAATGTTGATAAAAAAAAATAATCAATAGTTGCAGCTCTAAATATGCTCTGATCTTTCTCATATTCACGCTTTTTTTGGTAAAATAAAATAAAAAAATACAAAAGCAGGAGGTGAGAAGGTCTTTTAGGTTGTAGATGTCACTGAAATCCATTTACTGCCTCTGCAACCTGCTGTGTTATTTTCATTAAAACACTCCTCTTAAGTTTCTTTTATTTAATTCAAAAGGATCCAAACTCTCCTACTGCTTTTTTCAAGGTCTCCCCACTCTCATTCAGTTTTACAATTTTAAATTCAAAATCTCAGTATCAGAGATGAACACTGGTTTAGTTTACTGCACTATTAAAAGACACAACTAATAGTTAAATCATCACTTAAAAAAAAAAATGTAGCTGTACTTTCAAATATTTGTAATTTATTTCATGTTCAAGTCATGTTTGAACCTTGGTTTCTGTTACGCTTTAAGACTCAGCAGCAGCAGCAGCAGCTTTGGGTCACCTCAGGATAAACACGTCCTCCATAAACTCCCTTTTTCCCCCTCAGGCAGTGGGCCGACTTCATCAGCTCATTAATATCGGCGGCTTTACCGTGCCATGTCTCGGTACAGCAGGCCAAGATGAGATTGAAATTATTAGAGTGCAACACACTTACTCCTGAAGCGCAGGGATGTTGTTCATTGTGTACAAAACTCCAGGAGCCAGGAGAGAAAGGAGAAACACGCTGACCTCCGCCGGCGGCCTCATCTTGTAAACGTGTTGCTTGACCTCTTCGTTGTAGTTTTCTTTTTTTAAAGTGTCCAGGTAGAAATGTTCCCAGCTTACACGCGTTTATTGGCAGTGAAACGGTGCATGTTAAAGGTCAGCGTCCTCTCCACCGCAACAGAGGGAAGGAGGTGATTGAAAGGAGTGTCACTCGTTGCTTTTTGATCCGTGATGAAGCAACGCTGCTGCTCCAGTCAGCCCGGCTATCTGGCAGGTTTCAAAGTTCAACTCAAGTCACGTCTAATGAGTGAGAATTTAAAGGCAGAGTAGCACCAAGTTCAGATAACAGACTGCTGATTCGTCATGTGCAAATTACGCATTTGGTGTAATGGATGTGGATGATCACAGGTGAAATCTCACACAGGTGATTGCACAAGTGACTAAGAACCCCTTCAAGTCGTATCAGCTGTGATCATTCCACTCTCACTCTGTGCATGTACAGGCTGCCACCTGGTGGAGGCCAAGCCGTCCCGTGTCAGGAACGTGTTTCCTGGAAGACTTTTTCCACAACACTGAACTTTTGCTTTGTAATGTCACGCAGTTTGTGGATTCTGGGTTTCAGGAGATGAGTCTGTAATGACAGAAGGTCAACAAAATCTGGGTCATACCGCACATGTTGTTTAGGAAAGTGCTGCCTTGGCTCTGGTGGCCCCTGGGGTTCATTTAAGGAGCCATCTGTCCTGTTTGGTGTAAGATTAAGAACTCCTCAGTATGATGTCTCCAGCCTTGATTAGATTGTGGATTATATCTGGCAGAGAACATAAAGTTCACAACAAAGATTATGTTTTTTTTCCAGTCAGGGTGTAATTTAAAACTAATAATTGTTGTTACACTTTCTATGTTTCTATGTAACGTGCTGGTTTATGTCAGTCTTTTGTGTGCGGGAATATATATATGCGCATTACGCAACAACATCTTATGGATGAACAACATTTGTAAAGCAGGCCTACATCTAATGCAACCTTATCTTCTGTAACAAAGCTGCTGAAGAGGATTATGCTGCTGTTGCCACAGAAACTTAGTGACCAGTAGAAAGAGAGAGGGGTGGGGATTCCACGAGGAGAGTCGAAGCCAGCAGAGAGGCGATTCTATAGACTTGTAGGCAACTCGGCACCCACACAACATAGTTTTTTTTTTTTTGAGGCAACACAGATTTTCAAGAGTCCACCCAGTCTGCCACCATGCTGCACCCTCTAATTATCGGCATTATGACAGTGAACACCTCCCTAACCGTCGTCTACTGGGGCTTCCTCTTGGGAGATGTCTACTTCAAGTGGCTGTTGGAGCCAGAAGACAAACCCAAAAGGGTGGTCACCCCAGCCTGAAGCGGTCGGAGTCGATATGGATCGAGCTGACTGAGTGACTGGGCGCTGTTTTGCTTAGGACTAGTCTTCTAGTGCTTTCTGTGGGGTCACATTTACAATCAATCTGCTTTATTTTCTTTTTTTTTTTTCTTTAATTTGGAGAAGACTTGGAAGCCCCTTTGAACTTCAAAAAAATACTGAACTGAATGAATCCTGCCAGTAAATGAGGAAGAAGCCTCTCTTACAGGTAATGTTGGGAGATTACTGGGAGATACACTGTAGAGCAAGAAAATCCACTGAGTTGTGTGTTTCTTAAATGATCTGTGAATTGTCCTGGTTGTGTTTATTGCTGACTGGCTGAATCAGCTGCTCAAATTGCACCACCACAAAATTCTTCGACTAAATGATAGTAAATGAAGTCCGTCTTCTGTTTTAATGCCTGCTGACTCAGTGAAAAGTGCTGCCGGTGACAACGGCGTGTGTCAAGTAAATCCTGGATTACTAAAGAACACCTTGATACTGAAGCAGGCGGCGCTACTCCCCTGACAGGCTCATCGTGAGACACATTCAGACACCTGACATTGCTTTTTCATCTCGTCCTGTCTGCCTCTCCTTTACCAGAAGATTTGATTGTCAGTCATCCTCTCGCATCTTTTTTTTTTCTAAACATCTCATCATGCACACCTTCTACTACGGCCTGCACCCGGTCTCCTGGTTCATTCTCGTTGCAAACGTAGCCATCACCATCATAGAATGGCAGTTTATCATCCGTCAGTTCATCAAGCTACAGACACAAAAAGAAACTGAGCCTCAGTCCTAGAGGAAATCATCTGTGTCCTGATGCTGCACCAAGAAGGACCCGGGAGGATAAAAATACATTTTTGGATCACTGCTTGCCTGCCCACTTGCAGAGAGAAACAATGATGGTGGGGTTTTGTGGTTTGCTGTGATCCAGCAGCCAATACAGAAACTCTTTTGTTTACACGATGTTAACCTTCTGCTGTGTCTTTGTGGTTATTTCCAGAGCTGTTTTTGTACAATACACACCAGTTTGGAAGGCCTTTCATTCAGCCACAGAGAAATTTCAAGTCTTGACTTCAGGTAAGTTTTTGTTTTTCCCCTATAGTTTGTTTTCCCCCATTTGCTACTTCTCATGTTTAGCATTTTGTCATGTTTACTTATTAGAAAGGCAATTTGGTGTTTTGCTCTTTATTAATTTCACATGAGTTGCTCATAAAAAAAAAAAAAAGATTTGATGATGTACACTTTTTCCACCCATTAGAGTATTTATCCATCAGATTGTGCTTTGAAATATTACCATCTGCTCTGCGATGAAGCAAGAAATGAGCCGTGAAAATATTGTGAATTATGTGACGAGACGTTTATAGAATATAAGAAGTGAAGCCGCTGTGCTTAGGATGAATTTAAAGTGTCCATAACCAGTTTAAACCTAAAGAGAGAGTGGGTTCACTTTAATATATGTATCATATATATATATATCTATATGCAACATAGTCATGGACGACCATAAGCCTCTTTAGGGTATTACTGTCCACCTCTCCTCGCTCATATCTCTAATCCCTGCAGATGGAAAGCTGATATTGCTCTATGACAGACTCAATCCTATTAACTCCGTCTGTCCTATATTCACCTCTCCTCCGCCTCACACTCTTGGCTCTCTTGGAAATTTGACCGAGGACCCCTGTGTGAAAGACTACAAGGAGGAATGCTGGGATTTAAGTCTAGACGAAAGATTAGCAGAATTGGCACACGTATAGTGTCTGGTGAACTACTTTATTTTTTTTCTGTAGAGCCACTTTATGACCGAAAACTGTCACTGCTGAGAGACAATGCTCTCCGTTTTAAACCGTGTTAACATTTCCACCTGTCACTCAACTCTGTCATTCTTCCCAGCTTCAAGAAAATGTTCAAAAATCTTCTAATGCTCAGCTCCTCTCCCTCCTCCTCCTCCTCCTCCTCTGTGGTGCATCACCTGCTTTCCAAATGTTCACAGTGCACTGAAGGAGCTCGGATCTGCGACAAGATAACAAATCGCCCAAAGAAACAGCCCCAGAGCTTCCATGCATTCTTTAAACAGACAATCCCGTAAAGAGAGTTTCACCAAAAGCAGCTAAACTATGAACCAACAACAGGTTGTGTCCCTGAACGCCTCAGGAGGAGCCCTGCTTTTGAACCTCACACAGCTGGTGTTTGAGCACCGACAGCTCCTCCAGTTCTCCAGACGGAAGGAGGAGGAGGAGGAGGCCTATTTTGTGGACTACATCCCCCCGGCGAGAGACGCTATACCTCTGCCGCGCAGTGTAGTCTATGTCCTAGTCGGGGTGATGCTGGTCGTAGTGGCCACTTACGCCATAGTGGGACACCTCATTACTGACCTGATGCATGACCTGGCAGGTAACCACAGCGGGAACATCCCCAACTCATGTCCTCTCTTTACTCACCCGTCCAGTCTGGCATCCGTGTCTGTGGTGACTTTGAGTCCTTTCCGTCCCTCAGCTTTTGGGCTCCGGCTGCATCAGCGTTTCGTTCTTTCCCTTTTCCCCCCTTTTTTGGCCGACTATGTTGTTTGATGACAGTGTCCTTCACGTTCACCCCGTGGTTTGTGCACAGAGGAAATCCCTCCCAACGGTGTCTTTGTTATTCCATTAAGGTGAATTCAAAAAAAAAAAAGTGAGCAATTCTGAGCAATTGACTGCAGCTAAAATAACACCTTAAGGGGGCACTTTGGCAATTTAGTAGTGCGCTTCCACAAAGCTGGGAAGCTTTTACACAACACATAAATTGGTAGTATTAAAGCAGAGACGACTGGATGTTCAGCAACCAGTACTGATCAAGCTCCAAAGACACTGGAACCTACATTAACTATGATGCAACTGAGGCTACATCCACAATAATACATTTGACATTTAACACACACAACTAGTGATACGTCAACACTGTTGTGGTGTTTAAGGATGCCTAAAACGGGGGACTTTGCGGACCCCATTTTAGTTTCAAAACCCAGTTGTTGCAGGCTTTTTGGAAATAAAAGGCAGATATTTATTCTGATTGATCTTAACTGTTGCTGTGGTTCTTTCCCTGAAGACACACTTTAATTATTGTGCAACTAAGGAAACCTCAGGTCCTATTTTTCACCATTGCTGTTCATCCATTGTAGTATTTACAACAACTACACAAACAAAACCCCCTCCTTCATGTCTACATCCACATGACCAGTGTCCATGAGTTACTAATAAGTGGAGATTATTTCAGAAATAGTGGCAAAATGCTTATTGGAATGGAGATCAAGTCATTTTAAAATGGTGTTTTTAAAGGACAAACATGTTGTTGTGGATGTAACCTCATCTTTAATTAGGCTTCCAAGTCCTGGTAAATGCTCACTTCTTTCTTTCAAGCTCCAATCTTGAGTTCATCTAAAATTGCCGGAGTGCCCCTTTAAAACTCCCACTGAGAAGCCACAAAAGAATGGCTTCATTTTAACCTTGTTGTTTCCTCCTTCCAGACTGGATGTTTGGCCCCAAACCAGTGGAGGATGACTCAGAGGGAGGACGAGGAGAAATAGAGGAAGAGCGGCGACTCAGCAATCCCACCAAGCAGATGGAGCAAGACAGGCTGAGGATGGAGAAAGAAAAGGACGGGCTGCTGCCGGGTTTCCAC